TAATTGTGTCCCAGGTCAATTTAATGATTTTTATCTGACATTTCTGCTGGCTGTTCTGCTTCTATCATTGGGGTTTTCCTGTTTTAATTTATTTATACCACGATTTACTTCCTGCCCCTCATAGTTCTTAAGTACCAGTCACGGCAGCTAACAACAAATAAAACATCTATAAAATACAATATAGTGAGAGATGAGGGGAGGGCGGTCAAACAATTCCAAAGTTCTGGGGTGGCCCTGTCTCTTGTCCCCAAAAGATTAATTTTGCATTTTCTATTTTATTGTTTATTGATAGTTGTGTAAGCCATCTTGAAAAGGGATGGGGAATATTTTTCAGCCTGATGACCACATTCTTTTCTGGGTAACTTTGCAGGGTGCACATGGCAGTGGTAGGTGGAGCCAGAGACAGAAATGGGGAATCCAATAATTGCAAATTCTACTGCCATGCAGTAGGCTAGTTTCTACACACACACACACACACACACACACACACAGAGAGAGAGAGAGAGAGAGAGAGAGAGAGAGAGAGCTCTATACTTCATCCATGCAAACAAAAGGTATTACAGTGGTACCTTGAGTTATATACGCTTCAGGTTACAGACTCCGCTAACCCAGAAATATTACCTCGGGTTAAGAACTTTGCTTCAGGATGAGAACAGAATGCGTGGCAGCACAGCAGCAGCAGGAGGCCCCATTAGCTAAAGTGCTGCTTCAGGTTAAGAACAGTTTCAGGTTAAGAACAGACCTCTGGAACAAATTAAGTATGTAACCAGAGAACCAGGGAAATGTGTGTGCGTCTTATGGGGCGAATGCAGGCTTTCACTGGAAGCCAGGAGAGCGAGAGGGGTCGGTGCGCACCGACCCCTCTCGCTCTCCAGGCTTCAGGAGAGCCCCAGCACCAGCCCCACCAAGGTCGGGGGACAGAGGGAGGGCGGAACGCCACCATCCCGCTGTCTGCCGAAGTGGTTTGGAGGCTGGCGGCGGGGAGACCCCGCCGCGAGCCCCGCAAGCTCCGGGGACAGCGTCTTCCCGCTGTCCCCGGACCTGAATCTGAAGGCGGGTGGCGGGGAGAAGAGCGCTTCTCCCCGCTGCCTGCCCCGCAAGCTCCGGGGACAGCTGGGAGACGCAGCGCGTCTTCCCGCTGTCCCCGGACCTGATCTGAAGGCGGGTGGCGGGGAGAAGAGCGCTTCTCCCCGCTACCTGTCCTGCAAGCTCTGGGGACAGCAGGGAGACGCAGCGCGTCTTCCTGCTGTCCCCCGGACCTGTTCTCAAGGGCTGGCGTAGGGAGAAGAGCGCTTCTCCCCGCCTGCCTGCCCACAAGCTCCGGGGACAGCTGGGAGACGCAGCGCGTCTTCCCGCTGTCCCCGACCTGATCTGAAGGCGGGTGGCGGGGAGAAGAGCGCTTCTCCCCGCTGCCTGCCCCGCAAGCTCCGGGGACAGCTGGGAGACGCAGCGCGTCTTCCCGCTGTCCCCGGACCTGATCTGAAGGCGGGTGGCAAGGGAGAAGAGCGCTTCTCCCCGCTGCCTGCCCCGCAAGCTCCGGGGACAGCTGGGAGACGCAGCGCGTCTTCCCGCTGTCCCCGGACCTGATCTGAAGGCGGGTGGCAGGGAGAAGAGCGCTTCTCCCCGCTGCCTGCCCCGCAAGCTCCCGGGGACAGCTGGGAGACGCAGCGCGTCTTCCCCGCTGTCCCCGGAACTGATCTGAAGGCGGGTGGCAGGGAGAAGAGCGCTTCTCCCCGCTACCTGTCCTGCAAGCTCTGGGACAGCAGGGAGACGCAGCGCGTCTTCCTGCTGTCCCCGACCTGTTCTCAAGGCTGGCGGTAGGGAGAAGAGCGCTTCTCCCCGCTGCCTGCCCCACAAGCTCCGGGGACAGCTGGGAGACGCAGCGCGTCTTCCCGCTGTCCCCGGACCTGATCTGAAGGCGGGTGGCGGGGAGAAGAGCGCTTCTCCCCGCTGCCTGCCCCGCAAGCTCCGGGGACAGCTGGGAGACGCAGCGCGTCTTCCCGCTGTCCCCGGACCTGATCTGAAGGCGGGTGGCAGGGAGAAGAGCGCTTCTCCCCCGCTGCCTGCCCCGCAAGCTCCGGGGACAGCTGGGAGACGCAGCGCGTCTTCCGCTGTCCCCGGAACTGATCTGAAGGCGGGTGGCGGGGAGAAGAGCGTTTCTCTCCCCACTACCTGTCCTGCAAGCCCGGGGGACAGCTGGAGACGCAGTGCGTCTTCCTGCTGTCCCCGGACCTGATCTCGAAGGCTGGCGGCAGGGCAGAAGAGCGCTTCTCCCCGCTGCCTGTCCACCCAAGCTCCGGGGACAGCTGGGAGACGCAGCGCGTCTTCCCGCTGTCCCCGGACCTGATCTGAAGGCGGACTGCGGGGAGAAGAGCGCTTCTCCCCGCTGCCGGCCCCACAAGCGCCTGGGGGGGGGGGAATAATTTTTTTTTCTTTATTTCCCCCCCCAAAAACTTGATGCGTCCTATGGGCCGGTGCGTCCTATGGGGCGAAAAATACGGTAGTTGGATAGTTTAAGTACTCCTTCTTACCTAAGAAGCATAATAGAAGGTCCAGAGGTAGCATTATTATCAATTTAAGGGGGGGGGGTGTATGGAAGGGTTGCAGGCTAGGCAGGACTTGTTCCCAAATTTATTGGCAGCTGCATGAATTATGATAGCTAGAAATGGAAGGGGCAAGCAGAATATAAAATAGGAAAATGTTATAAAGAGGTGTGGGGATATAGCTATTAATGATAAATTAAGATGTGCCATTAAGGTAAGATACACAGTCAGAAATGATTTGAGGACATATGGAAGGTGTTTGTAGAATCTGTACTGTTAAAACAGAAAGGGTCAAAACAATCGCAAGAGGGTGTGAAATTTTGGGCGGTTGAATTGTTGTGGGGTGGGGCGTGCACATTTTATTCTATTATTTGATTATTACTTTGTCAAAATAAGAAAGAAAAAAGAGAAAAGAAAAAGAAAAAAAAGAAAAAAGCATAGCATGCCACTGACGTTGTGAGGTAATATGCGTTCTGAAGATGAACTTTGACATTTTGGACACATTTTTGAAATCCCTGTAGTAATTTTGTTTCAACACTAATGGCGTACAAACATTCAGATGGGAGGACTAGTAACCACTGACAAGAATGCTCCACCACACTCAGATTGTCGCATATCCCCTCTTTAAACTTGCGGGCATCACCTTGGGTGACGCTGGTCCGATGCTTGAGCTCCAGGTCTTCTATGGACAACTGTGATCATCCTAAAAGGGAAAGCAGACCCAAGATGAAGAGAGAGTGGCTTCAGAGGGGGGAGGGAAAGGGATATTGGGTGGGCAGGGACTGCCTGCAACTGCTGCTGCCTCACAACTACCACATAAAAGGTAAAAAAAGGAGAGAAAATGTAAAGGGCCCCTGGATGTTAAGTCCATCAAGGTGACTACGGGTGTGGCGCTCATTTCACTTTCAGGCTGAGGGACCTGGCGTCTGCCCACAGACAGCTTTCTGGGTCATGTGCCAGCAGACTAAACAGCTGCTGGCGCAACAAACACCATGATGGAAACCAGAGCGCATGGATTTACCTTCCCTGTTTATCTACTTGCTCTGGCGTGCTTTTGAACTGCTAGTTGCAGGAGCTGGGACAGAGCAACGCAGCTCACCCTGTCATGGGGATTCGAACCGCCAACCTCCGATCGGCAAGCCCAAGAGGCTCTGTGGTAAGCCTACAGGAGCCCCTCAGAGCAGAAGGGACCCCCACCTTAAAGCAGCCGCCGTCCCCTGCCAAGGTCACCCAATGAGCTTGGTGGATGAGCAGAGATTTAAACCTGCGCCCTTTGCCAAGTCACCATGTTGGCCTTTCCAGATAACAAGTAACAATGGCAGCAATAGATAGGGTGGTAAATATGATAAATAAATATTCTGGAAGTGTGACTGCAAGCAAGGGCCTTTCCTCAGTTGCCTCTCTGTCTCACGGAATAAGAGTCCCTTTGAGAACGTCCGAATCAGCATTCAGCCACCCCGGCTTACCACATCCATCTCTTTCTTCATACTCTCCAACTTCTCTTTCTTCTTTTCCCCTTTCTTCTTCTTCTTGATCTTGACATCCATTTCCCCACCAGGATGTTTCTCCATTTCCACCGAGTACATCTCGTACTTGTCCTGAAGCCAAGGGCCAGGGGAAAATAAAGAGAGATTTGTGAACTTGAACTGATGCACCATGGCAATGCAATCAGCTGAAACTTTAGTTGCGGGGAAAGGCACCCTGCACATGCTCAGAAGCACATCCTTTTATTAACCGCAAGGGGAAGGAACTTATGAATAGAGGCATTATCATCTATTAACTGCTGGGAAAAGCACTTCATACATGCTCAGAGGCGCTGTCTTTCATTAATTGCTGGGGAAAGGATATTTTGCACATGTGCAGAGGTACTGCCTTTCATGAATGGGGGAATGCAGTTGGCACAGGCTGAGAGGCACTATTAATGGGAAGGAAAGGCACTTCACACATGTTCAGAGGCCCTGTCCTTTATCGTATTTTGGAGCTGAAACCCAACAAGCAGAACAGATATCTCCCTTGCAGTAGAGACTGAATTCAAATTCGACAAGATAGGAGATTTTCTCAAAGTGAGGGTTCTTGTGAGGGCACCCTTTCTTTGTCCCTGAGGAACTGGGTGGTGGTGGTCACGAGCTTGGCTGGATCTGTTCCTCAGCATAAGAAAAAACAACCACAACTCGAGTGGATTAATCTGCCTGCATTTGCATAGGAGAACAACACCAGTAGTTCTAAGCGGGGGGGGGGGGCATCTTTTCTGTGGGTTGATGCAGTTTACTCCAGGGGTAAGTGGATTTAAGATCGCAACCAAAATTAATTGAACCCTGGCCAAAGCACAGGTCAGCCCAAATCAGTTCGATTGGTTCAGGATCCAGGATTTTTAAACCCTGCTGATTTCAGTGGATAATGTACTAGACCCTCCCTCTACACATAGCAATTCTCTCAAGATTTCTCTTCATATTTTTCTCTCTAGTTGGGAGATGGGTTGTTCGTTGATATTAATTTTTTGTACTGTATCTTTCTTTTACAGTGGTACTTCAGGTTAAGTACTTAATTCGTTCCGGAGGTCCGTTCTTAACCTGAAACTGTTCTTAACCTGAAGCACCACTTTAGCTAATGGGGCCTCCCGCTACTGCCGCGCCACTGGAGCACAATTTCTGTTCTCATCCTGAAGAAAAGTTCTTAACCTGAGGTACTATTTCTGGGTTAGCGGAGTCTATAACCTGAAGCGTCTGTAACTTGAAGCATATGTAACCCAAGGTACAACTGTATATCTTTTTAGAGTTTTGTGGAAAATGTTCCATTTGGTTGTTTACTTTTGGTGAGTTTATTTATCGTTGTGACTACTTTCGTTATGTTCGTTATGTTTTTTTTATTTATGCACATTTTTCATGTTGTAAGCATGGTTTTAACTATGGAAAGGTGGCATACAAAAAAAAAAGTTTAATTAATTAATAGTTTATGAGGTTTATAAAATTTTTTAACACCTTCCGGAAGTTGAGATTCTGCTCAGATGGTTGGATTCCTATTTCTACCGTGTGCTATGTTCTGCTGTGAGTTCACTGCTGGATAACCCCAGATATGTGAAATGAAGCCAAGCGATGAAATCTTACATCTGTGCAAGACTCAACTTCCTAAACCCAGAATGACGGAAACTCTATTACAAATTGTCATGATTGTTCTCAGCCTTGCTATGTCTGTCGGCTGCCACTTATTCAACTTTTGCAACATCTAATCTTCTATATGGGTGGTGCATTCACAATTAACAAGAAGGACTAGAACCCTCACTTTGCCTAAAAGCATGCATTGAAAGGTGGCAACACCTCGCCCTGTTGGCTCTCTTTCACTAGCTAGATGTCGAACACGACAGGGTGATTTATAAGGATGCCAAGGGCAGGAAGAAGCGAAGCTGCCAATTTTCACCTTCTCATTTTCCCACTCTTCTTTTCAGCTCTCCACATTCCCGCGTCACTTTGCCTGTATGCATTTTAATACAAACTGTACCCTAGTACGGTCAAACCTCGGTTGTCAAACGCAATCCATTCCAGAAGCCCTTTCAGCTTCTGAAATGTTTGACAACCGAGGCGTGGCTTCCGATTGGCTGCCAGAGCTTCCTGCACTCAAAGCGAAAGCCACGTCGGATGTTTGGCTTCTGAAAAGCATCCGAAAAACTGGAGTATTACTTCCACATTTGAGAGCCAAAACATTCCAAAACGGAGGTGTTTGCCAATCCGAGGTTTGACTGTAAATGCAATTCTGTACACAACACTTGGCTGGAGAACTGCATTGAAAAATTCAGAGAAGCGTGAATTTCAAAGTAATTGCTGTATTTTAGTTTTCATAGAGTTGAATGTTAGGAGGATTTCCCTTTAAATATGAACTGGGTAGAATTTCTCCCTCATCTCTTGTCAAGGGGGACCTTTGGAAACCATCATAGCAGAGTGCAGGTTTAACTCTGGCACTGTTGCTTTTCTGCAGATTCGTGCACGAATCGAGTGGGTAGGGTTCTCCAGAAGACTGTGACACCAAGAAATGCAGAACTGGAAGGACTACATAGGACATTTAGTCCCAACCCCTGATCAATGCAGGGATCTTGCAACTGCAGCATCCCTGGACTGATGATACTTCCAGTGCTTCAATACGTCCAGTGAAGGAGACCTGCCATCTTGCAAGGCAGTCTGTTCTACTGTCACACAACTCATTCCATTAGGAAGTTTCAATTGTATAGCAGAAAGCTCCTCTGTGCCTTTCCCATACATTCAGTCTCTTCCTGTCCCTTGAAGTAGCATTAAACAAGTCATCCCCCCACTTTTGCATGACAGAATTTCAGAAATTTTAAGGCAGTTATCCTATCTCCTCTTCATTTTCTCTTCTCCGAAAGCAGCCAACTCAACTGTTCTTCATAGAACTTGATTTTCCAGATTCTGCGCCATCTTTGCTGGTCTATTTTGCCAGCCCCGTTATATTTATGCAATAATAGTGAATTAGTGGTGGGTTCAGGCTGGGCCATCCACAAACCATTCTGCTTTATTAGCTGTTCTGCAACACCTCTCCAATGTCACTGCCACTTGGAGGGCACTTCTTGCGCTGTAACAGTGCAACAAAAGTGGAACAACCCCACCACCCCACAACAGAACATTTGTGGTATGAAAAATTACCAGACTTCAGCTGGAAAACTACGGGGCTTCCGTGTTGGAAACCAAGTGGTATATCTGCCCTGAAACATCTGCAGCCACAATTTGTATTGGAAGTCACGTATAATGTCCCTGGTCCCACCATGATCACAGATCATCAAGAATTCACAAGAAAAAGGAGGCCAGAGATGGAAACCTAAAACCTCTGTAAAACGGTGGTGTCTAGGTGAAAGCAGAAGTTCCTTACCGCCTTCCCCCATTTTGATTCCTTTGGGCCTGGTCTTCTCTAAGGCCAACAAGACAGACCCGGGTGGGTCTCGAGTGTCTGAGGCTGTTGCAGGTGCTCTGTGGCTCAGGGAGGGTAAACGGTGACCCCTCTTGGGTTGTCCCCCTTTTATCAATTCCTCTGGGTGCCACCTTGTCCCTGGAAGGAGAGGGGGTGCCAAGCCCTCTTGCGTGCTTTTTTGAAGTCACGCCCCAGGAGGTGACAGCCTCGGAAGGGAGAAAACAAACACCCAAGAGAGCAGGTTTCACCTTGGACTCCCCTTTCCACCCATGGCAACTCCCTCTGGAGCAAACACATCCAGGTGTCGAAGGCAAAGACCTTGAAGCTGAGGGGGATGAAGGAACAGGCCATATAAAAGGATGGAACTGGTGCCATTAAATACAAGGCTCTGGGGGAAAGCCATGGCTGTGGCTCAGTGGTAGAACATCTACTTTGCATGCTGAAAGGCCCCAGGTTCAATCCCTGCCATCTCCCTGTGTGGCTGGAAGAGACCTCTTGATTTCTCCCCAGTATTAGTGGCCTCTGAGCATACTCAGTTCTCACCAGGCTGTTTTTGGGTCCCCCCTCCCCAAGATTTGATTTATATTTCTGTTAATCCCTCCTCCCCCTTGTGCTGTTTTGGCCGGAACACAAGTACATCACACTGTGACATTTTGTTGCAGGCCCCTTCAATGTGTTGAGAGCCAGTGTGGTATAGTGGTTAAGAGCGGTGGACTCGTAATCTGGTGAACCGGGTTCGTGTCTCCGCTCCTCCACATGCAGCTGCTGGGTGACCTTGGGCTAGTCACACTTCTTTGAAGTCTCTTAGCCCCACTCACCTCACAGAGTGTTTGTTGTGGGGGAGGAAGGGAAAGGAGAATGTTAGCCACTTTGGAGACTCCTTCAGGTAGTGATAAAGCGGGATATCAAATCCAAACTCTTCTTCTTCTTATGATTAACGGATTTGATTTCAAGCTGTGGGGTGCAGTTTATTATTATTTCTACATGTAAGCACCCTTGATCATTGCAACAGATACCCCAAGAGGGGAGACAGAAATAGTAAGGTCTGGTCGGTAGGCCCAATAGTTATGAGCTGTGCAACTGAGCCATGAAGGACCATCAACAGGGACTCCCCCCCCACCCCCCAAAAAAAATCTCTTGATGATGCCACTGTGGCAATGACACATAAAAATAAGGCGATGGAAGCAGTGGCGTAGCGTGGGGGGTGCAGGGGGGGCCGGCCGCACCGGGCGCAACATCTGGGGGTTAGGGGGCGCAAATCCACGGGTTAGGGGGCGCAAATCCACGGGTTAGGGGGCGCAAATCCACGGGTTAGGGGGTGCAAATTACTTGCCTTGCCCCGGGTGCTGACAACCCACGCTACGCCACTGGATGGAAGTATGGCAATAACAATATTTGTTAAGAGTGCTGAGAGTTGTTGGGAGACTCTAATTCCCCTCACAGAGCTGCAGTTGCCAGAGTTCCTCGGGAAGAGACAATGGTTGCGAAACGACTTTGGAAACTGTAGTTCTATGAGGGGACTAGCGGTTGCCTTATTTATTTTATGTATCAGATTCATATAGCATCCGTCATCACAAGATCTCAAGGCGGTTCACAAGATAAAAATAAAAGGTAACTCTCAGCACCCTTAACAAGCATCAGCTCCCAGAATTCTTGGGGGCGGGGGCGGGGAGGGGAGCTGCGGCTGTTTAAAGTGCTTTTAATAGAGGTTTTGCGGCATGGTGTGAATGTGACCTAAATGGGAAATGACACAAATTTCATCCCCCTTCCCTTCCTCTGGCACGAAGCTTTGCGAAAGAACCACAGCTGTGGTAGCCACATCAAGTGGAAACTGCTATAGCCTCGCAGCAAGCATACTACGTGGTCAACCTTTCTGTGGGATTTGGAGTTGAGCATGCCTCTCAACTTTGAGCTTTCAGTTTGTGGTTCTTGAGTGGGAGAACGGGAGAGGTTTGAGGGCAAGCGACTTCTGCTAGCATCTGAAGAGATTTCTCATTCCCCTCCCTTTGTTAAACACTTTGTTTAATTGACAAACAAAAAGCACAAAAACCCCCAAATACCCCCACAGTGCATCAGGTTACACTTCCCTATTTGAAAGAGAGGAAATTCCTTGGAGGCCAGATCTGCTGCCCCTATTGATCCTGTCACCCAAAGGCCATTGCCCCAATTTGCCTCATGGTTGGGCTGGGCCTTCACTTAGACCATGCTTGCATTGTACAACTCGCTTCATCCTTCCAGGGATTGTTTGTCTTGCAGCTACTAATAAGCTACCAATGTTGATAAAAAACCTGTTAGTTGTGTTACAGGAATTTATGTAATGGTTGGGGGGGGGGTTGCCCCTCCAGCAGACATCATACACACATACCCCGACTACCAAACTCAACACAATCACTCCTGCATATGTCCCCACAAAACATTTCATCACAGTTTTTCCCTATCTCTATTCAACAAAATAAAAAAAATCCTTCCAGTAGCACCTTAGACACCAACTAAGTTTGTTATTGGTATGAGCTTTCGTGTGCATGCACAATACAACAATTCACTGATAAATGTACTGGCTCACTGGGAAACCTTTAGAAAGTCATATAAAATTGCTCCAGTATGGATTTGCGCCATTCCAACTTGGTTCTGTTCAGGAAAGGAATGGCTACCAAGAAGGGAGTCTGGGATGTGGGCAGCCATAATCCCTGAAACCTGGGATCACATACACAGCAGCCTCTTGCACAAGAGATAATCACTGACACCATGGCAAATGGGTGCCAGACAGGCAGTCGTCTTATGGACAATGGCAAACCATCCAGGAATGGATTAGGTCCTGGGTCAGGACAAAGGAGTGTGATTACCTGATGGGGGAAAACCAGGAACTTGTAAATATCCCTATCGTATCACTTGATGGGTGCTGGGCAAGGGAGGTTGGGGGCAAACCTGACGAACTGCTTTCTACCAGAAACCCCCTCCCTGTTTGTGACGTATATATGATGTATCTGGGATGTATGCCTGATGCTTCACCTGAGGTGTTTATGGGAAAAGGGGAAACTGATAAAAGAGGAAGCATCCCTTTGTTTGGGGCTTCTCCCTGCTTCTTCTATGGGGTGGCTAGAAGTTCTCTTGCAACAGTCTTTTAAATAAAGACCAGGCCTACAGGCTGCTGTTTTGCTCCTATTTTCTTGGCTGGTGTCTTTGGGAATAATAATAATAATAATAATAATAATAATAATAATAATAATAATAATTTATACCCCGCCCATCTGGCTGAGTTTCCCCAGCCACTCTGGGCGGCTCCCAATCAAATGTTAAAAACAGTACAGCATTAAATATTAAAAACTTTCCTGAACAGGGCTGCCTTCAGATGTCTTTTATAGATAGGATAGCTGCTTATTTCTTTCACATCTGATGGGAGGGCACAGTGGCGTAGCGTGGGTTGTCAGCACCCGGGGCAAGGCAAGTAATTTGCGCCCCCTAACCCGTGGATTTGCGCCCCCTAACCTGTGGATTTGCGCCCCCTAACCTGTGGATTTGCCCTAACCCCAGATGTTGCTCCCGGTGCGGCCGGCCCCCCCTGCACCCCCCACGCTACGCCACTGGGAGGGCATTCCACAGGGTGGGCGCCACTACTGAGAAGGCCCTCTGTCTGGTTCCCTGTAACCTCACTTCTCACAGTGAGGGAACCGCCAGAAGGCTCTTGGCGCTGGACCTCAGTGTCTGGGCTGAACAATGGGGGTGGAGATGCTCCTTCAGGTATACGGGTCCGAGGCCATTTAGGGCTTTAAAGGTCAGCACCAACACTTTGAATTGTGCTTGGAAACGTACTGGGAGCCAATGCAGATCTGTCAGGACCGGTGTTATGTGGTCCTGGCGGCCAGTCCCAGTCACCAGAATCCAAGTGAGCCTGGGAATTTTCCTTTTACAGTTGCTTTTTATGCAAAAAAAAATAATCTCCAAGCAATTTACAGCATATTTAAAAATAAGCAGAAGGCCCACACCACATCCTCTTTTTAGGATTTGCGCTCATTGCAGAGTTGGAAGGGACCTCAAGGTGGTGGTCTGAATGTGGCTTTTATTTTGTTCATAGTCAATAATGGAGGCTCCTCACGTCCCACTTTTCTCAGTACCTCTTAGTGGGCTGCCCTTTCCCTCCTGGTTCTTTGCTGCCGTTCCTTTCCCCCCTGAGGGACCTTGACAGGACCTTGTACTAAAATGCCCCAGCTTTGCGTCCAGAGCTGCCTCTGGCATGTTCACAGACCTTCGCCTTGTGCTGGAGCCAGAAATCTCTGGTGAACAGGGCCCTCCTCCCCAACCCCTGCTTATCAGCTGGTGACCTTACAAAGAGGAAGGAGAGATAGGAAAGCTGAAGGATTAACGTAGACAAACACAACTCCCGTATGTGAGATGTGAAAGCGTCAGTTTGCCTTCTCCGCTGTTACTCAGTGTGCCGCCTGCCCAATAGCATTCTATTCCAGGTCACGTGCTACAAACTTGTGTTAGAAGCCCTGCTGGGAGCCATGTAACCATCTGCAAACCACCCCATGTACACATATATAACCCAGTTCTAAAATAGCTGCATTGACTTCCAGTTCATTTCTGGGCCCAGTTCAAGGTGCTCATGCCAGGACTTAAAGCCCTAAATGATTTGGGTCCCACATACCAGAAAACCTGCCTCCTTCCCTCGGAAGTTCCGGGTGGTGGTGACTCAGGAGAGGGCCTTCTCTCTTGGCAGCCCCTAAACTGTGAAATTCCTTCCCCAAAGACCCTCCAAATGCACCTGTTTTCCAGGGCAAGTCCCGGATTTACAGAAGCTGTCCTGGTTTTTTTATTTGATCCCAGAATGTCCCACTTTTCCTTAGGAAATCCCTATTTTCATTGGAGAAATGGTGGAGATTATGGAGTTATCCAACCTCATCTGAAGGCAGCCCTGTATAGAGAAGCTTTTTAAAAATGTTTAATTTTTTTATATATGTTGGAAGCCACCCAGAGTGGCTGGGGCAAACCAGTCAGATATATATATGTTATTGTTATAAATTGGTATATTGGTGTAAATATTATTGGTATACAGTGGAACCTCGGGTTACAGACACTTCAGGTTACATATGCTTCAGGTTACAGACTCTGCTAACCCAGAAATAGTACCTTGGGTTAAGAACTTTGCTTCAGGATGAGAACAGAAATTGCACGGTGGCAGCAGGAGGCCCGATTAGCTAAAGTGGTGCTTCAGGTTAAGAACAGTTTCAGGTTAAGAATGGACCTCCAGAACGAATTAAGTACTTAACCCGAGGTACCACTGTATTGATATAAATATTATTGTTATTATTGAATAGGACGTCCCTATTTCATTGGACGGGACGCGGGTGGCGCTGTGGGTAAAACCTCAGTGCCTAGGACTTGCCGATCGCATGGTCGGCGGTTCGAATCCCCAAAGCACCCCTAAGTGCAAGTAGATAAATAGGTACCGCTTATAGCGGGAAGGTAAATGGTGTTTCCGTGCACTGCGCTGGTGCTGGCTCGCCAGCTGCAGCTTCGTCACGCTGGCCACGTGACCCGGAAGTGTCTCCGGACAGCGCTGGCTCCCGGCCTCTTAAGTGAGATGAGCGCACAACCCCAGAGTCGGACACGACTGGCCCATACGGGCAGGGGTACCTTTACCTTTACCTTTATTTTCAATGGAGAAATGGTGCTTCTTCACTCTATGGCTTCTTCACTTTACAGCTTTTGGTGAATGCTGAAGATACACCATTTTACCCTGGCGTTTGACACCTGAGATGTATGTTTTCTGGGCCTATCCTTTCCTGTGATTTGCTTTTCGCTGTTTTCAATTCTGAATTTCCAGTCATCTACCACCCTCAGACCTGCTGAGGGCAGATAATTAATTCATTCACTCATTATAATAGATGGAACAAGGAAGCTGCCTTGTAACTGAGTCAGGCACCTAGTCCCATCAAGCTTCATACTATCTACACTGCCTGGCAGCCACCACCAGGATTTAGGGCAGGTTCTTTCCCTGCCCCAGATGGAGATGTTGTGGGTCAAACCTGAGGTCTTCTGCATGCAAAACCGATGCTCAGCTGCTGAGTTATGGCCCTGCAGAATAAGTATGAACAGCATACGTTTGTGAGTTGTGAAATGTGTAACCAACGGTTTGAATAAGGGATGAAACTGCATTTCAAATTCCATAAGCCTGTGTAGAATGCCTAATTGGCGGTGGTGGAGGCAGCAGCGAGGGAAGTATTTCAGCCAGACCTATCCTTCAAGGAGCTCAAGACAGCATACAGGGTTAACTGTTGGAGATGCAATAGGGATAATGCTTCTCTAAAACGTATGTTTTTTCATTGTCCTATACTGAAAGATTTTTGGCAGAAGGTAACTGGAGCCATCAACAGAACTGTATGGAACACCATACATTTGCAGAGCAAAATATCCTCTTGAATTATATAGCCAGCACATGGAACCTTAGTAAAGGTAAAGGGACCCCCTGACCATTAGGTCCAGTCGTGACTGACTCTGGGGTTGCGGTGCTCATCTCGCTTTATTGGCCGAGGGAGCCAGCGTACATCTTCCGGGTCATGTGGCCAGCATGACTAAGCCGCTTCTGGTGAACCAGAGCAGCGCACGGGTACGCCATTTACCTTCCTGCCGGAGCGGTACCTATTTATCTACTTGCACTTTGACGTGCTTTCAAACTGCTAGGTTGGCAGGAGCAGGACCGAGCAACGGGAGCTCACCCCGTCGCGGGGGTTTCGAACCGCAGACCTTCTGATCAGCAAGTCCTAGGCTCTGTGGTTTAACCCACAACGCCACCCGCGTCCCTCACAAAGGGACAATATGAGTGGACTCTCTGTGACCTTACCACAGCAAAAAATCCTGATGAATTGGAAAAATAAAATGTGGCTCCCTTCTATGATTGGATTGAAGGCTTGTACAAACTCGCAACATATGAACGATTTGCATATAAACGCAGACTTGCCATGGACAAATTCAGTGGTATTTGGAATCCAATCTTACAAATACTGTAATAGGTTAAGATAATAACCTTGTATATAGTTTTGGGGTTTCCCCCTCCCCACTTTGTTTTCTCTTCCTCGTGGGTTCTCTTTTTTGTTTGCGTCTCACCATGTTAGTGGCACATATAATTATGTACTTTTTGAACTTTCAATAAATATGTTACCAAAAAACCCACAAAACAGCATACAGGGTTTCCTCCCTCCCCATTTTATCTTACAGCAACACCGGTTAGGCTGAGAGATGGTGACTGGCTCATGGTTGCTCACTAAACTTTGTTGCTGAGTGGGGATTTGAACCCTGATCTCCTGGATCCAGTCCACTGCATCACAAAGGCTTTTCATCCAGTTTCAAATCACTTCTCTGCCTTGAAGCTCACTCTGTTGTATCATGTGTCAACAGGAAGGCAGATATGAACACAGCCGTCAGTAGATTTCGACTCTCCTATATTTCATAGCTACATCACTGTCAGTGTCCCACTCCCCCTGGGCTGTATCACCATCCTGTTTATCGAGCTGTGCACAGACATTGTGAGTGGCCAACACTAATCCAGCAGAGGCTCTTTCCCAGACTGCTCAGGTCTGCTTCCGACCCCCAACTCCAAAACCAAAACCTTTCTCATCTATCTTCTCAGTTCCCCTCAGTTTCCCTGGCCTATGAGAGGGCTGAGAGTGACATCATGCACCTGAAACCACGCAACCCTCGACGGGACCGTCTGGTCAACGAAGCGCTAGCGGTCTATTCCTACTCCAGATCGGTGCGTATTTAGAGCCTGGAAGGGGAGCCTAGAGGTTTGGAAAGCGGGGGAGAGCAAGCTATGTTGCATGAGACAAGGCAGGAAGCCTAGGTTGGGCTCCATGTGGAGTGGAGCTTCTATAGGGAGTGGCAGGAATTGACTTAGATACCTGCCCCACCATGCCTTATCCCGTGGGGAGGAGAAGGCACATCATCTGAGCAGTGATGGACTTGTGCATGGCAAATTCAGAAGCCAGGATCCGTTCATGATTATCGCAGCCAGGCTCCCTCACAGCCACCCCCTTCTGAGATTATACAACTTCTAAGATTATAAATAAACATATAATTATACAATAATAATTAGGGATCCACTACAGACATCCACAGATCTCCGCAGACACCTTTCATCTAGATCAGTTTCCCAAACTTGGGTCTCCAGCTGTTTTTGACTACAATTCCCATCATCCCTGACCATGGTCCTGCTAGCTAGGGATGATGGGAATTGTAGTGCAGCTAGAGACCCAAATTTAGGAACCCTTATCTAGAGCTACTATTTTCTGTGCAAGTGCACGCAGGGGAATGATCTGAAGCTGCTCTTCTTTCGGAGTCACTAAAGTTGTTTTTTCCCCATAAAGGTCAACTGTACGTTACACTGTACACTGTTCTCTTGAAACTGTGCCCATCACTGCTCAGATGATGTGCCTTTCTCCTCCCCATGTGGTGGCCTCAACAGGCATAAGGCATGATGGGGCAGGTATCTAAGCCAATTCCTGCCAGTCCCTATAGAAGCTCCACTCCACATGGAGCCGCCACCTAGGCTTCCCTGCCTTGTCTCACGCAACACAGCTTGCGCTCCCCCTTCCAGCTCTAATACGCACCGATCTGGAAGTAGGAATAGACTGCTAGCGCTTCGTTGACCAGACGGTCCCGTCGAGGGTTGCGTGGTTTCAGGTGCATGATGTCACTCTCAGCCCTCTCATAGGCAGGGAAACTGAGGGGAACTGAGAAGATAGATGAGAAAGGTTTTGGTTTTTGGAGTTGGGGGTCGGAAGCAAGACTGAGCAGTCCTGGGAAAGAGCCTCTGCTGGATTAGTGTTGGCCACTCACAATGTCTGTGCACAGCTCGATAAACAGGATGGTGATACAGCCCAGGGGGAGTGGGACACTGACAGTGATGTAGATCAGATAGGGTGTCAGCTCTGGGATGTTCTTGGTTAGGGTGTACGCGATGGATTTCTTGAGATTGTCAAAGATCAGGCGCCCTGAAAGGAAGAAAAGAATGAAAGAAAGATGGCGGTGGGTTTAATGGACAACTGTTGTTGTTGAGCTGGAATTCCTTCCATCGAACTTTTCTGGATGTTATCTGCGGGTCCCTTCCAGGCCTGTGATTCTGTGTCCAGCAAAGTTTGGAATCTAATAGATGAAGCTGTTGAGCCAGTCATACCAGCCTCTTTGTAAGGAAATGGCCATATCTGGCCAGTTCAATGCTCTCATCAGCATCTCAAAGAGTGAGCCTTGTTGCCATAGTGATAGCAAGAGGATGATGCTGTCCAGGTAGGGGGCAGGCACAGCACTGTGTTCTCATCAGCTTCCCAGAACACAGTATCAACTTGCTATGTGACCACCCAGCCCCTAAATGGTACAAACTTCTGCTGTCTTGCATGACACACAGTCAGGGTTCATGCATACCTAGTAGACCCCTTTAGACATCCCTGGCTAATTGCTAAGATCTTCGGAGGAGAGACTGCTGGCTTTTCCATGAGTAGTGGAATGCCACCTTCTGACACTTAGGAAGCGGGTCTTGTCGGTGGTGGCACCTACCTTCCAACACTCAGTTGCCACCATCAGATGCTGATATATGACCCAAAGGCACTAACCCCCCCCCCCTTGTGCCACAGCCTCCCGAGAACAGACCTTGCTCGACGCCAGTGACGATGGAGGCGAAATTGTCATCCAGCAGGATCATGTCAGCAGCGTTCTTGGCTGCGTCGGATCCGGCAATGCCCATTGCCACACCAATGTCAGCTTTCTTCAGTGCTGGGGAATCATTCACCCCATCTCCTGTTACTGCCACAATAGCACCCTGCGAACAAGGAGAGAGAGAGAGATGGGCCTCCTGCAGATGGGTGTTTTATTGCAGGTGCATGCTATTAATACATCCGCGACACAATCTTAGCACATCCGTGGTGCATTTACCCCATTCTTGTTTGTTCTTTTATGTTTCCCCAGTGATCCCACATTTACTGCTGTCCTGATCAGGAACAGTGCAACAAAAGTGGGAGATAAACAAACCAGAACATTTTTGATATACAGTGGTACCTCGGGTTACAGACGCTTCAGGTTACAGACTCCGCTAACCCAGAAATAGTACCTCGGGTTAAGAACTTTGCTTCAGGATGAGAACAGAAATCGCGCGGCAGCAGTGGGAGGCCCCATTAGCTAAAGTGGTACCTCAGGTTAAGAACAGTTTCAGGTTAAGAACAGACCTCCAGAACGAATTAAGTTCTTAACCCGAGGTACCACTGTAAAAGGTTACAGGATTGCAGCAGGAAGTTACAGGATGTGCAGTGATTGGCAAAGAAGCAGTGTGAACGCCCCCAAAACTTTTGCAGGGACAAGCACTATTGAAAGTGGGATTGTGTGTGACATTGTGAGCAGAAATCATTACTAACGTGCAATAGAAAGGATGTCTGGATGGGCTCATTCAGGGATCTGCAGATGGAACCTGCACCAAAATGTTGCCGTATGGAGTTCAGAGTCCCAGGCAGCCAGTCCTGCCCTTTTCCAGGATATTCCATTTCATTCCCCCCATCAAAAGTCAGTTATCATTCCATGTGGACTGAGCATGCTCAGTTCTCATTGGGCTGTCTCTGGACAGCTTAGTTTCCCCTCCTAAAATTTTTATCCTTCTGCACACCTTGAGGTTTCCTCAAGTGCTTTGTCTTGTTACACAGATAGTGTTATTTTTGATGCACAGCCATCAACACTCATGCCTGAAGACTGGAAATGGAGGGATTGATAATCGTATGAAGCAGGTGATCCAAATTCAGAGCGCCCACAATACCTTCTGCAGTTAGGGTTTTGTGCCCCTTACCAATTTTTGACAGCTTTCCACAATGATGAGCTTCTGCTGTGGGGAGGTGCGAGCAAAGACCATCTCTGGGTGCATTTTGAGGATCTCCACCAACTCCTCGGTCTCCATGTCTTTCAGCTGGCCCCCGTTGACCACACAGGCTCGGGCATCCCTGGATGCCGAAGCAGAGAAAGGGAGAGCCCCAGGGTCACATACATAGACAGGGCCTTTGTAGTGGCTGCACCAATAATTGTGGAAAAAGTGGCATGGATGAGCCCTTTTCTGATTGCCTTTTTGCTGGCTGGTCAATACATTCTTATTTCAGCAGCCTTCTGCCTGCTATGTTCATTTTGACATGTCATCAATGCCACTGTTGTTTCAGTTGGGTTTTCAATGCGTATTTTATGGATTTGTATAGTTGCAAAACACTTTCCATTTTACATTGTCCTGCAATTTTACATTGTTGAAATCTGCCCTGAGTGATTCATGGGCACTAGAAGGGGTGAGACAAAAGTTTTTTTGTATAAATAAAGAGCCTCAAGTTTTCAAGTGAGAGCCTCTCTTCAGCAACAAACAAGACATAGAGTTGGTGTTTTCAATGCTGGACAAACATAACTCTGTCCTTCCTTTGTTTCAGTGTGGCTGGCTTACCACATTTTGAAGGAAGTGACCCTCTGTAGATGGAGAACTTCCTCCTGTATGGCGACTATTATACCCAGAGTCAAAAGTCACCTAACTGCACTTTGGGATCCTTCTGAGCAGGGTGGATAAAAATCAATGATTTCTTTAAAATAATTTAAAATATCAGATTTTTAAAAATTTAAATCAGATTTTTAAAAATAAAATGCTTTTGGATGAAAAATCTTTATAAAGATAGTTTTCTATTTAAATTACATTATAGTCCAAAGGCTATTCATTAGGAAATAAGAATTTGTTTTAAGTTTTTCATGTGTGCTAAAACTCAGTCTAAGTTTTTTTTTTTTAAAAATGTTTAACCACATCAGTTAACAAACATGGATACATATGCTATAATGTTATTGTTTGAGTTAAATAAATTGTTTAAATTGTTATTAAGGAAATGAGTATTTTTCTCCTCCCAATAAAGTACAGCAGAAAAGTTGTCCCAATATAAACAGTTAACATATTAAACCTCACAATAATTTCATAATTAACTATGTCTATGTATTTCTAATAGTACAACCAAATCAGGAATTTTTGACACAATTGTAAAAACTACTCTGAAAATTTATTATTCCAAAAACGAAACTTTCATCTGGTTGTAAATATGAAGGTTATACCAGCAAGAATGAGTCTTTCTGTAAAAAAGAGAGATTTAAATCAAGTCTTACTGACTAGTGATTTGAATCGTGATTTAAATCAATTTGATTTAAATCAAAGCCACGCTGCTTCTTTTTTTAAAAAAGTATCTTTATTAATTTAAAATAAATACATTTATGAAAAACATATACATACAAGTAAACAAACAAACAAACAAATAACAGAAAAATCAAACAAACCACCACACTATAAGATATAAGAAGATTAATATAATTATCATCATATATACTCCTGGTACAAAGCCATGCTGCTTCTGAGGCAAAGCTCTCTGTGTTTAGATACTCACCGCTTGTTGACCTGCTCCACGGGAATTCGCAGGCGGGTAGCGATATCTTCGACCGTTTCGCTGCCCTCAGAGATGATGCCCACACTGGCAGCTATGGCCTTTGCGGTGATGGGATGGTCTCCTGTCACCATGATCACCTGGAGAAGACAGGGCAGCGGTTCAAAATGGCCGTTCCTGCCTGAAGTGATTTTTGGTTGTCGTTGCATCAGCACAGATCGAATAAGCCTGACTGGAAAATGCTGACGAGAATGTTGGTCTAGGTTCGGGAGGCACCTGCACTCTACATTTAAAGCACAATGAGACCACTTTAAACTGTCACAGATTCCCCAAAAGAGTCCTGGGAACTGTAGCTGGTTAAGGGGATGCTAGGAGACGCTTCCCACCACAAAACTACAATTCACAGAGTGGATTGTGGGAATTGCAGCTCCTTGAGGGGAATAGTGGTCGCCTAGCACACCTCAAGACCCTGAACAAGCTACAGTTCCCAGGGTTGTTTGGGGGAAGCCAAGGAGTGTTTAAAGTAGTATGATATTGTATGGTGCAGATGGGGGTCCTGGATTCAAATCCTAGCCCATCCATAAAGCTACTTGGGTAGCTGACCTTGGCTCAGTCACAGTCCCTGAGGAAATACATGTAGTTTTAATGTCAGGCCCCTGACCTTAATTTTTTTTTTAAAAAAAAAGCTTTCCCGGTGAATCAGAATTGCATCAATTTATATTCAGGAATGCTCAGTCCCTGCCTCTAATTTAATTATTTATTTAATGATAGTTTGCTTTATTATTAAGCTTATATCCCACCTTTCCACCAAGTTGGCACACATGGTTCCGTCCCCCCCCGTCCCCGACGTTCATCGTGACTGAGTGGGGATTTTAACTCTGGCCTCTCAAGTCCAAGTCTGACATTTTGACCACTAACCCACACTGGCTACATACCACTGCAACTCTATATATGACTAACGGCCACTAGAGATATCATCCCTATTGCCCATACAAAATGTAAATTATTATTTTTCGCCAAGATGCTTGTTACTAGGGATGACTTAAGACATTTTGCAGCCTGCAGTGAAGAACAAGATGGTGCCTGCCCCCCAGTCCTGCATGCGTCCCATTTCCACAATCAGAAGCTGGCTGAACTGGCAGGTGACTCTTATTCCAGTATTCCCAACCTTGGATCTCTGATGTTGGACTACAACTCCCATCATCCCTGACCATCGGTCCATTCTGGCTGAGGCTGATGGGAGTTGTAGTCCAACAACATCCAGGAGACCATGGCTGTGAAAGGCTGCCTAACACTGGGGACAGGATAGTGAGGGTGCAGAACAGACTGTGTCCTACCCTCCAACAGAGGGGAATGGCATACAGTCTCAGGAGAAATGCTGCCGCTCCTCCCAGCATCTGCCACCTGAGGCAGTGACCTCACTCTGTCTAACGATAGGGCCGGCCCTCTTGGTTGCTGCTAATTCTTCCAATGGAGCCAGAAACACTCTGGAACACCTGGCAGCATACCCGGATGCCAGCGGTGCGGCATTTCATGACGGCGTCGGGCACTGTGGCTCTGGGTGGATCAATCATGGAGATGAGGCCTGCAAAGCAGAGCCCACTGGTGGGGAAGTTCATCTCGTCGCTGTCAAAGTTGTAGCCGCGTGGGAACTCGCTCTGGGGAAGGTACAGGTGGCAGAAGCCTGCGGGGAAACAGAGAATCACGGTAAGGCCTCTGCCAAGGGTGGACACTTAGAGGCACTGTCAGAAAAAGAGGAAACATATCACCAAAGAACAGGACATGGATCTGCATATAATCTTCATATGGTAATATTTTCCTTTTCAGTATTTTTTCTACTAGGTTGTGTGCCACCTTTGGAAGGGAGTGGCAAGGTAGAAATGCAATTAATAATATGTAGAGATGTGCATTTAGAAATAATTGGGGCCACATCCACACCATACATTGAAAGCGCTATGCACTTTGAAGAGTCATGGCGTCCCCCAAAGGATTCTGGGAGCTGTAGTTTGCTAAGCGTGCTGAGAGTCATTCAGAGACCTCTATATTCCCCCACAGAGCTACAATTCCCAGAGTGGTTTAACATCCAAACACAGGGAAATCGGCTCTGGCTCCACCTACTGCTGGCCTCCTGGCCTCCTACCCTTGTAGTCTCATTGGACACTTGCTTAGGAAGGTCATTGCTCAGGGGCAGAGCACCTGCCTTGCATGCAGAAGGTCCCAGGTTCAATCCCCGGCATCTCCAGGTAGGGCTGGGAGAGATTATTTATCTAAAACCTTGGACAGCAGTTGCCGGTCAGTGTAGATGATACTGACTTAGATGGGCCAATGGTCCAACTCAGTACAAGGCAACTCCCTGTGTTTCAGCCAGTTGACATGCCAGTTGCCAGGATCAGCACAAGTACTGGGCATCCTCAGGATGAGTGCTGGGCGGCTTGGAGCTGTCATTGACATTTCCCACAACGCCCTTTGAAGTTCCAACACCCCAAGCCGTTGTGGGAGAGTGAAATGGGGATTCCATATCACTCCTGAGAACACTGACACTGAGAAAATCCACGAGAGGGTGAGAGAGTTTTGCTAAGTGTTCCCTCAGATCCATACAGCTGGCTTTGATGGTACCTCAGAATACAGACCTGGCCTTTATCAGGTCCCAAGTTCTACCAACAGCACACCCACCCACACCCACCCCTCACCCTCCCGACTTACCCAGGACACGCTCGCCCAGACCGCCAAGGTCCATGTAAGCTGTTTGGAAAGCCTCCTTCCACTGTTCATCGAGGGGCAGCTCTTGACCTTTGATCATGATGGTGGAGCAGCGTTCCAGGATGCGCTCTGGAGCTCCTTTCATCACCATCAGGTAGCGCTGGTCTCGAGGGTCGTCGAGCTCATGGATGGACAGCTGGAGCGAAGAGAGGGAGCAGGAGACTCAGGAGGACTCGTTCATAAAAATACGCTCTGCGTTTTAGCTTCCTTTCTTTTGCCCTCTTGTTGGGGAGAGCGGGGCTGAGGCCTAGTCTGGGCACACGGCAGACAATGGTGCCATCAGGGCAGAACTGGGGGGGGGCATTCTGCAGAAGGATCACCCCCAAACGCAAGAGGGGTGGGCTTACGACATGTTGAAGTAAGCAATGTCATAGGCACTGCTATTCAAAACCCAGAGTCCAAAATGAACTAATGGTACACACTGACAGTGGAACTGGTAGACTGCACCGCTTCAGGATGTGGGTAGCATGTGAAAAACAAACAAAGAACAACAACATCTCCCACAAGTTCAATACAACAACGAGCAAATTAGAGAGAAAGCTTCAACCCTGAACTTCTCATTGCAGTGCTAAACTTCTACTTGCCTGAAGTTTTTCTTTTTTTAAAACAAACAAACATCCCCCATAGAGGAGCATTCAAAAATGCGACCTTGCATTCTGAAGCGATGTAGTCCACTCCACCACCTTGGCACTCTAGCACAGGGGTGGGGAACCTTTTTATTTTTAGACCGAGGGCCACATTCCCTTCAAAGCAACCTTGTGGGGGCTGCATGCCAGTGGCGGGTGGAGGGCTGAGGCAAAATCAGGAGCAGCAACCAGGGACGCGGACTTATAAAAAATATTGGGGGGGCCCGGGAAAGCTCATGAATAATAAATAAGCTCATGAATATGCAAATAAAGTGGCGCCGCCTCCTCGTGAGCGAATAGGGGAGAGCGTGCTGCGCCTATTAATCAGCTCCAAAGGAAATTGGGTGGAGCTTTTGCTCGGGAGGGAGGGCAGGAGGCATGCAGCCCGCCCCTCCCTGTGCATTTTGGGCTGGGGGAGGGGCGGCGATGGCGCTCTGCTGGAGGGGCGCCGGAGATTATTGGGGGGCGGAGCCCCCCCAAACGAATTTTTGAGGGGGCTCGGGCCCCCTCAAGCCCCATGGAGTCGGCGCCTATGGCAGCAACCCATGTAAATGTTTCCTATATCCTTCATCTATGCCAGCAAGGGGCGTTATCAGAGGTGAAGCTTGCTTTGCAGGCAGGGTTGGTGAGTACAGAAGAGAGCTGGGTCTTTATGGGCCAATGGGCTGCCTCAGAGTTTTCTGTAGTTCATTCTGAGATAACTGAACAAGGGTGGCTGAGGCTGGCAAAGGCCTAGTCAGCCCTCGGGAGCAGAGTCAGCAGCTGACCTGGAACTTGTTGGTAGAGTTGAAGGGGATCTCGCAGGCTTTCTTGTAGCGGTCCCGGTACTCCATCACATTGCCCAGGGTGATCTCGGAGAACTTCAGCAGGGCTGTCTCTGAGGCGTCTCCGATGACGATCCGCTGGGGTCGGATGCCAAAGAGAAAATGGACATAGGTCAGTACAGCTGAAGTGCAGCACCAGGGGCGAGGAGAGAAAAGGCACATTTTAGGACCAGCCCTGCTGTGATCTAGAGACACCGTCTCCACAAAAGGGACCGACAAGTTTACTTACAGATTGGCTGGAGATGGAAGAGTCTCTGAGCATAAGAAGAAGGCTATTGCCACACATTTAGGATTGGTGGGCAGGGTGCAGGCTCCTCCAGGCTTGATTTGACACAAACAAGCACCAGAGATACAGTCTTCCCCCAACCCTGGGTCCTCAGATGCTGTTGGACCACCTCCCATCATCCCTGAGCATTTGCCAAGCAGGTTGTGGACGATGGGCTTTGTAGTGTTTTCCCTATATGTTATTATATTGTGAATCGCTTCAGGATGTTTTATGGGAAGCAATTCACAAATAGAACAAAGAATAATAGTTCAACAGTGCCTCTGTCTGCTTATCAATGGATTTGGTTGATTCAATAATATATGATATTATTACTCCTTAAGATTCATTCCACGAATGAGAGTAATGGCTTTTATGTTATTCTGTGTTTAAAGGCTTCTATTTTTATTGTACCAGCCTGATGTGTAGTTGTGGTGCTGTTGTTGCTGCTGTTTAACCCAATGATGTGTTTTCTTTAAGTTGCTTTTCTTGCTTTAATTAAAAAGTATATTATTATTTTAAACGAATACTATTTAAATTATTATTTGAAACATTAGCTTCAGCTAAGTTGCTGCATTGTGTGCTTTTGGACTGCACATTTACAAGCAGAAATGTATCCCGGCCATATCCCATTGCTCTTCCTTACCTTTGGGACAGGGACGCTATCCTGGCCTGATTTGAAAAAGGCTCGGTTGCAGAGGCTCACCACTTTGCAGAGAGCTCTCCACGTCTCAGAGGACTGATCAAAACTTTGCCCTGGAAGGCACAAAATGAGACAGAGTGAGGGGAGGTGGCACTAATAGTTTTTTTCTGTATCAAACGGCTTAGGACCGAGTTATCCAAAGGATTGCTTTCACTCATATGAACCAGCCTGTGCCATGACATCAGCCTCAGAGGCCTTGCTCACTGCAAGCATTTAATGATTCGAATGAACTGGTATGTTGGTGTCCATTATAGTTCAGATATTATTGATTTGTTTGAGGTGCCTGTGGTCCCTGCCCTTTACCCAAGAGTCCCAGAGAAGCCAACCATTACATTAAAATAACAAAAAATTGTCCAGTAGCATCTTAGAGACTAACTAAAATTGTTCTAGGTATAAGCTTTCGTGTGCATGCACACTTCTTCAGATACTCTGAAACAGAAGTCACCAGACCCTTATATATAGAGGGAGGACATAAATCTGACATCAGGAATCACAAGACAGAGAAACCAGTAAGAGAACACTTCAGTCTCCCAGGACATTCAATACAGGATATCAAAGCAGCTGTCTTATTACAAAAGAATTTCAGAAACAGACTTGAAAGAGAAGTTGCTGAATTACAACTTATTACTAAACTGAAAACAATGGAGAGACCTGGTCTGAATAGAGATATTGGATTCTTGTCTCATTACACATGCTAAAGCTATTTTTGGTCATCTGCATACTATCTTTTGCTTTTTCCTGTAGACTAATTGCAGTAATTAAAAGTCGTCAACAGGTTTACCATACCCATTGAGTCAATCACCCATCTCCTACTACCTTTCTGAGAAATTCCCCACCCTCCCTCTATATATAAGGGTCTGGTGATTTCTTTTTTCAGAGTATCTGAAGGAAGTGTGCATGCACATGGAAAGCTTATACCCAGAACAAATTTAGTTGGTCTCTAAGGAGCTACTGGACAATTTATTTTTATTTATTTTATTTCGACTGTGTCAAGACCAACATGGCTACCCTACCTGAAATTAAAATAACAATTGACATGGTGGCATTACATGGGGGGTTTTCTGACATCAAGGAAGCAGGTTTTCTGGCTGTGTTTGGATATGATTGGTCGTGCTGGGTGGCAGGAGGAGGGAGCTGACAGCCATGCCACTGCTGAACTGCTCTAGTACAACAGATGCTGGCTGCTTCTTACAGTAGGAGAGGCTGAGAGCTGTGCATGCACACGAAGCTGACTACTTAGGGTCTAAGTGCACTGAAGATGGGTGGAAGGCAGGCAGGTGGGTGCTGACTGGGAGAAGACTGAAGATGGTGGAACAGTGCCCTATTCGCCCTAATGGACCAGCCTCCACCAATAGCCATGGATGATGGGAACTGTAGTCCAACAACACACATATTCCGCACCCCTGATTTAAATCAAATGACCCTGCCTTTCCTGGCCAACCCTATCCATTAGTCTCTCGGACACAAGTGCCTCTGGCCCAGCATTTGTGAAGCCCAGACTCTGCACCTGACTGATCTTCTGTGGTGTCCGCTGTATGGATCTGGTTGTCAAACCAAAGGTGGGAGACAGTCATGCGGTTCTGGGTGAGAGTCCCTGTTTTATCAGAGCAGATGACGGAAGTTGAGCCCAGTGTCTCAACAGCCTCCAAGTTCTTCACCACACAGTTCTTCCGGGCCAGGCGTTTGGCTGTGAGGGAAAGACAAACCTATGAAGAGAGAGAGACAAAGACAGAGAGATGGAAATGTAGAAAACTTCAGCTGAAAATACATATAATGAAGGAAAGGTTACCATGTTTCAGGGGCTGCATACACACTATAACACTAAATCACATTTGAAACACATTTCTCCCCTCAAAGAATTCTGGGAATTGTAGTGTATCCCTCATAGAGTTGCAATTCCCAGCAACCCTGGACAAACTACAATGTCCAGAATTCCTTGAGGGGCAAAATTTGCTTTGAATGTGCTTCAGAGGAATAGCGTGTGTGCAACATTCGTTAAAAATGAGCAAGAGGGGGCATGATAAATCTATGAAGATTATGCATAGTATGAAGAAAGTGGATAGGGGGAATTTAGCTTTCTCTTTTTCTCATAAATCTGTAACTCTGAGGCATCCACTGAAGCTGAATGTTGGAAGATTCGGGACAGACAAAAGAAACATATTGAGGGCCACATATTCCCCACCCCTGCCCTAAAACCGAGGGAGAGCGATACTTACAGTGACAGTTGCCAGAAGGCCCTCGGGGACGTATGCCACCACAATGGCCATGAAGAAGACCATGGCCTTAAGAAAGGGGTATCCAATCACCATGGCGACCACAAAGAAGGTGGCCCCAAAGAAGATGGCCAGGCCGGCAATGATGTCGACAAAGTGCTCTATCTCGATGGCGATGGGCGTCTTCTCATTCTCCACGCCCGAAGCCAGGCTGGCAATGCGCCCAATGATGGTACGGTCTCCAGTGTTAATGATGATACCCGTGGCTGTGCCTGTGAGGACACAGGGAGATAAACAGAGCTGGTACGGGTTCATAAACGTGACCCCCCTCCAAACTTCTTTAGGTAGGGGCGTGTCCAGATGGCCAGGCCCCTCACAGTGCATTCTTCACAATGGGAAACCATTTGTAAAGACTCTGTGTGGATTTGGGCCAGGCCCTGCCAGCTTTGTAGATCACGGGAAGCAGAGATGGTTGAGTAGCTTTTAATGGTCCTCCTGCTGCCTCACTCAGGATGAAGGCCCTCAAGAAAAGTGGTCAAGGACTGCATACTGGCAGTGGGCAGGGCCAAATCCCAAAGCAGGACCATAATATAGATATATGCACTCCATTCACACACACACACACACACACACACACACACACACACACACAAACACACACTCCTCTCTCTCTCTCTCTCTCTCTCACACACACACTGTCCACCCATTCATACACACTTGGACACCTTCCTACCTTCTAAGCACATGGTAGAGAAGAAGGCAATGTTTCTAGTTTCCAGGGGGCTCTCGTGGGTGCACTCGGGGGCTCTTGTCTGAGGCTCTGATTCCCCAGTCAGAGAGGAATTATCCACCTGAAAGGGAGAGAGAGAAGCGTGATGCATGCATGTGGCTATTTGCCATGGACTGCCTCTCCCCACATGAACTGACATGGTCCTCACCGAGATAATCATCCGAGGCCCTTCTTTGTTTGCCCTCTCCATGGGACACAAGAAGAAGCCTTTTCAGTGGTGGTCCCCCTGCTTGTGGAAAGCTCTCCCCATGGAGGCATACCTGACACCATCTTTATGTACTTTTATGTTACAGGGAAAGATTTTTCTCTTTATCTGGGCTTTGGTCCTTAATTTGAAGGGTGGCATGGTGGCCTCTATTAGAGGGGCATATCTGCATAACTGTGTTTTTAGCTTTCTCCCTTGATTTTATAAATTTAATTTGTTTTGCGCCACTCTGTGAGAAAAGGGACTAACAAATATTGATATTAATATCAAAAGCCCTTGCCTACCCCTCGCTTTCCTCCCTGAAATTTACTCTCCTGCTCCAAGCTGGCATTCCAGAAAGGTGGGTTTTATCCAATGTTTGTTAGCCTCAGACCCTTGGAAATTAAAGGACACCATCACCTTAGGCCCATCAATTTCAGTGGGTGTATTCTGAGCAGAATTGAGTTGGGTACAAACTCTGCTTGTAACAAACAGGTGAGTCTGGACCCCTGGATAGGCGAAAATCCGTTGGCAGGGAGGGATTTGTTTAGGTAAAAGCGACTGGTGGGAGAAGGGGGAAGCACTGTGCTGCAATTGCATAGGAGAAAGGGAAGGGTGAAGCCCTGTGCTTCTCTGCTGCAACTGTGTAGAAGTGGCTATCAGGATTCACATGCTCCAAGTGACCAAGCAATGCGTCAGCTCCCTTCCCAGTCCCATCTTGTCCAGCACTTTCTTCTCACAGTGGCCAACCAGATGCTTCTGGGAAGTCCCCAAGCAAGGTTGTAGCCTTCTCTCATTGTCTTTCTCCAGCAACAGGCATACTTCCTCAGGTAGTGGAAGTGGTACATAGCCATCATACGTTGTAGCTATTGGTAGCCTTGTCTTCCGTGAATTTATCTACTTCTCCCCAGGCAAAAACAAATCAGACTTTATGGTTTGCTTCATCCAGGAGAGGGCAGCAGAGGCACAAGCTACGAGAAGGTAGGTTTCGCTTAAAATTTCCCCCTTCCCACAAAGGTCTAGTGTACCTTGCAGCCTTGCGAGGTGATAATCCTGATGTCTGCTGGGACTCGGTCTCCCCCTTTGATCTCCACCAGGTCTCCCACCACCAGCTGATTGGCGTTGATCTGGAACTTGTCCCCATCTCGAATCACTGTGGCTTGCTGTGGTCGGGAGGAACAAGAGTCAAACGTTAAAACTTGGAAACCTATAAATCAAACCACACCTCCAGATGGGACTATTGTAATGCGGGGTGCGGGTGGCGCTGTGGTCTAAACCACTGTGCCTCTTGGGCTTGCCGATCAGAAGGTTGGCTGTTCGAATCCCCACCACGGGGCGAGCTCCCGTTGCTCTGTCCCAACCTAGCAATTTGAAAGCACGCCAGTGCAAGTAGATAATTAGGTACCGCTGTGGTGGAAAGGTAAATGGCGTTTCCGTGCACTCTGGTTTCTGTCGCAGTGCTCCGTTGTGCCAGAAGCAGTTTGGTCATGATGGCCACATGACCTGGAAAGCTGTCTGTGGACAAACATCGGCTCCCTCAACCTGAAAGCGAGATGAGCGCCGCAACCCCACTGGACTTAACCATCCAGGGGTCCTTTACCTTTACCTATTGTAATGCACTGTATTTGAGCCTGCTGCCATGATCATGCAGCACCTCTGCTGAAATAGCAGCACTGGCTGGTAATTTGCTGCCTAGCCATGGCTGTCTACACCAGTGTTTCCCAACCTTTTTTGGGCAAAGGCACACTTGTTTCATGAAAAAAATCTCGAGGCACACCACCATGCCAGATGGGGAAAGGTCACTTTTTACTTATGTAAAAAAAAATAAAAAAATAGTAACAGCATAGAAGGTAATGGTTATCTCTTTGATGTCTGATGGGAGGGCATTCCACAGGGCGGGCGCCACTACCGAGAAGGCCCTCTGCCTGGTTCCCTGTAACCTCACTTTTCACAGTGAGGGAATTGCCAGAAGGCCCTTGGCACTGGATCTCAGTGTCTGGGCTGAACGATGGTGGCGGAGACGCTACTTCAGGTATACTGGACCGAAACCGCTTAGGGCTTTAAAGGTCAGCACCAACACTTTGAATTGTGCTCGGAAAGGTACTGGGAGCCAATGTAGGTCTTTCAAGACTGTCGTTACGTGGTCTCGGCGGCAGGTAGCAGCGCTCACAGCTTACGGACTGCACCGTGTAACAGGTGTCTGGTCCAGCAGCCTAAGGCGGACAAGCCACTGAAACAGGCATTCAGAATCCATTCATTTCATAAAACCTGCAGGGCTCAATCTCTGTGTTTGTGTATGTGTGTGTTTCTGTTTTGCCCAAGGGTCTGGGGTGGGAGAGAGCTCTTTAGCATGATGCTTTTAAAACAATTAAATTATCAACAAACAAACCTGATGATACGAATAGCAACGTCAGGTGCTATGGGGGGGGGGAGAAGGGGGCCTACTCAGAAGTAAATACTGCGTCCAGGCGCAATTAGCGCTGATTTAAGGTGCACCAAGACTGCCTAAAAACCTCACCAAAGATATGCAACAAAGCGCTTCGTTGCAGAGGGGAGAGTTTGTGCACCGTGGAGGCTGGAGGGCTTCTATTCTACATGTGGGGGTTGGGGGGGCGAGGAAAATGTGCTCCGTGGTGGGGCGGGGAAGGCAAAGTTGCAAAAGCGCCCTGCTCCTTCTTCCGCGGAGGGAAACGCTCCTGCGGAGGTGAGAGGCAGCGAGGAGGCGACGAGGTGAGGCTTTTGTGAGGTAGGGAGAGGAAAGACGGGGGAGGGAACCCAAGGAGGATTTGCACGAGAGGGAATGAAGGGGAAACGCGCCTCCCACGTGGAGCACTTTTCCCCGGGAAATGCACGGGGTGGGGTCGTGGCTGATCCGTGCTGCGCGCTTGCGTCGTGTGGCCCAAAGTGCTGCAGGATCGCCAATGCAAGACCCCCTTTTAAAACCTCCCCCTCCCCCAGCTCTGGAAAAAAAGGGGGAAGGGGATGGCGTCGGCGTGCGGAGGCTGCCCGTGCCCGGCCAGGCGTCGGTGGCGGTGTCAGCGCTGCTGCAGTGGCTGCTCCTCCTGCGAGCAGTGAGTGGAGCGCAGCCGCAGCGGCGGCGGGGGGCGCGCGCGCGCGCTAGGGCGCAAGGCTGGCGGTGGCGGCGGGGAGCCCGGCGGAGGAAGGAACTTGTCCCTTCCCTCTGGACTCGCGCCCCCCGCAGATGTTGCGCCCGGTGCGACTGGCACCCCTGGCACCCCCCACGCTATGCCACTACTCCCACGGCACACTAGGCAACGTCCGGCGGCACACTAGTGTGCCGCGGAACACCGGTTGGGAAACACTGGTCTACACATTATGGCTTATTCTGGTTCCAGTGTTCTCCCACTGCTGGTGTTTTTGAAGCTGAATAGTCATGACATTAGCCACAGTCCATAGGTGTCTTGTAGCTATCTCGCAGTTTACCCATCAACATCTTCTGCCTCATCCCTTTAACTGAAGATGCTTGGGATCAAACTTATTATTATTATTGTTGTTGTTGTTGCTTAGTCGTTTAGTCGTGTCCGACTTTTGGTGACCCCATGGACCAGAGCACGCCAGGCACTCCTTATTATTATTATTACTCCTTATTAATAATTATTATTATTAATTAGATTTATATACAGCCCTTCATCATAAGATTTCATAGTGGTTCGCAGAATAAAATACAGGATAAAAACAAGTTTAAGGTTCCTGCTTGGTGCAATGAATTCTTCCTTCCATATGCTAATAGAAACTCTTCCTCAGAAGATAAAGAGAAGTCAGGGAACTCTGAATTCGCTCATTTAATTGATCTTAACAAAATAAGTTACTGACTACAGAAGAAAGCACTCAAAGCATGAAGTCTGCTGCTGAGCTATGATTTCTTTTCTTCAACTATTTGGGTGCAGCAGGAGTAGAAAAGATCATTCCTCTAGTCTCCCATGGCTATTTTTCATTAAAAGAAACAAACAAAGAAAGAATGAACTTGGAATTGCCAGTTTCACTCCTACAACTTACAGGAGCCTGATCTGTGGTTGTATGTGCACACCTGTGTGTAAACCTGGCCTGATCCTGCGCTGCCTTCAGCCACATTTGCAACAGCAGTCATCCAGGAACTTTCTCCTTACCTGCGGCACTAGATTCTTGAAGCTCGCAATGATGTTGGTGCTTTTGAATTCCTGGTAGTAACCGAAGCAGCCGGTCACAACCACGACAGCAATGAGAGCAATAGCCAAGTATAGCTATATGGGAAAGAAAGCAAAAAAGGGCCTATGGTCTTTCTGTAGTATTTTGTCATTCCAGCAGCTGTTACGCCTTCAGTTTCCATTTTAAAATTCCGCGTTTATTGGAGCATCACTGCTGGGTGACCTGAACCTCACAACCTTTCGCTCACCAGTTTTATCTCTCGACACTGTGTCCTCCTCATAGCATCCTTTAAGTCAGGGATGCAGAGGGGTATGGACAACAGGGCCCTCATAGGACTCCAGCTCCCATCAGCCCCAGCCAGGATGGCCAAAGCTCAGGGATGATGGGAGTTGTAGTCCAGTCACACCTGGAGGGCCTACAGCTTCTCCCAGCCCTGCTTTCGGCACTTACGTTGTCTGCACTGGTGAGGTCACCTTGCCCGAGCTGGATGCCAAAGGCAATGAGGCAGATGGCTGCTGCCACCCACATGAGGCACTGCAGCCCCCCGGCCAGCTGGCGGGCAAACTTCACATACTCAGGAGTGCCCTTGGGGGCTTCAGCTCATTGGGGCCATCACGAAGAAGGATCTCTCCTGCCACAGTGCTGCTCAGGCCCTGGAAGTAGAGAGAAGGGGAGGCAGGACCATTAGAAATACTTCCCCCCAGGACTGGAGTTGGGGAATAGACAATCCTGAGTCCCTAGCTTGTCCTCTGCTTTGACAGTCCCAAATATTTGGGTCCAAGAAGGCTACCTCCCTGAAGTGTAGGCGGGTTCCCACGAGGCAAGTCAGAGTGATAACAGGCAGAACCTTTATTGAACTACATCACTGGGAAATAGAGTCAAAACAGCTGCTTATACAGTGGTACCTTGGGTTACATACACTTCATAACCCAGAAATAGTACCTCGGGTTAAGAACTTTGCTTCAGGATGAGAACAGAAATCACGTGGTGGCACAGCAGCAGCAGGAGGCCCCATTAGCTAAAGTGCTGCTTCAGGTTAAGAACAGTTTCAGGTTAAGAACGGACCTCTGGAACGAATTAAGTATGTAACCAGAGGTACCACTGTATACATTTCTGTAAGCCTGGGCCACTCCCACTCCCAACTTGATTGGCTGTCTAAACTTCCAGACTGCGAATCACGACTCAAGAGTTCAAGGGCCAATGGCAGAGGCCCAAATCCTGAAATGTTCTGTAATTGGACAACATGTATCGATTCAGAACAAGGTGCTCAGAATCCTTAGTCCAGACTCAAGCTCAGGCAAACACAGACCACTGAATATGCAACACTCCCCAAAGCCCATTTGGTGGCTGTGTCATAGTAGGAGGCAGTAATGCTTCTCAATCAACAGTTTCTGGAAGCTACAGGAGGGGAGAAGGCTCATGTTCTCAGGTCCTGCTGAAGGGTTTTTCCACAGCTATCTGGGTGGCTGCTGTGAGAACAGGATGCAAGATTACATGGGCTATTGGCCTGATCCAGCAGGCTCTTCTTATGTTCTTTTACTCCCAAGACTATGAAGAGCCTTCCAAGGAGAGCATGAAAGCAAATGCGGGTTGTGGTGGGCGGAAAGCTTCTTCAACTTTTCTTCCACAAAAATGCATGGTTGAAAAAAAAAAGCACCTTGAGATCAAATCTCAATATGGCAAAAGAAATGATTTCAAACAGATTGTGTTTTTTAAAAGTTCTGACATAGTAGCTCAATATTTGCCAGAAGAGCTGGGGCTTTTAGCCAAAAGAAAACACAATTGAATTCTCTTGGAAATAAAGTTACCGTATTTTTTGCCCTATAAGACGCACTTTCCCCCCTCCAAAAATGAAGGGGAAATGTGTGTGCGTCTTATGGGGTGAATGCAGGCTTTCACTGAAGCCAGGAGAGCGAGAGGGGTCGGTGCGCACCGACCCCTCTCGCTCTCCAGGCTTCAGGAGAGCCCCAGCACCAGCCCCACCAAGGTCGGGGGACAGAGGGAGGCGGAACGCCACCATCCCGCTGTCTGCCGAAGTGGTTTGGAGGCTGGCGGCGGGGAGACCCCGCCGCGAGCCCCGCAAGCTCCGGGGATAGCGTCTTCCCGCTGTCCCCGGACCTGATCTGAAGGCGGGTGGCGGGGAGAAGAGCGCTTCTCCCCGCTGCCTGCCCCGCAAGCTCCGGGGACAGCTGGGAGACGCAGCGCGTCTTCCCGCTGTCCCCGGACCTGATCTGAAGGCGGGTGGCGGGGAGAAGAGCGCTTCTCCCCGCTGCCTGCCCCGCAAGCTCCGGGGGACAGCTGGGAGACGCAGCGCATCTTCCCGCTGTCCTCGGACCTGATCTGAAGGCGGGCGGTGGGGAGAAGAGCGCTTCTCCCCGCTACCTGTCCTGCAAGCTCTGGGGACAGCAGGGAGACGCAGCGCGTCTTCCTGCTGTCCCCGGACCTGTTCTCAAGGCTGGCGGCAGGGAGAAGAGCGCTTCTCACCGCTGCCTGCCCCGCAAGCTCCGGGGACAGCTGGGAGACGCAGCGCATCTTCCCGCTGTCCCCGGACCTGATCTGAAGGCGGGTGGCGGGGAGAAGAGCGTTTCTCCCCGCTACCTGTCCTGCAAGCTCCGGGGGACAGCTGGGAGACGCAGTGCGTCTTCCTGCTGTCCCCGGACCTGATCTCAAGGCTGGCGGCAGGGAGAAGAGCGCTTCTCCCCGCTGCCTGTCCCACAAGCTCCGGGGACAGCTGGGAGACGCAGCGCGTCTTCCCGCTGTCCCCGGACCTGATCTGAAGGCGGACTGCGGGGAGAAGAGCGCTTCTCCCCGCTGCCGGCCCCACAAGCGCCTGGGGGGGGGAAAATAAAATTTTTTTCTTTATTTCCCCCCCAAAAAACTTGATGCGTCCTATGGGCCGGTGCGTCCTATGGGGCGAAAAATACGGTAGTTGGATAGTTTAAGTACTCCTTCTTATCTAAGAAGCATAATATAAGGTCCAGAGGTAGCATTATTATCAATTTAAGGGGGGGGTGTATGGAAGGGTTGCAGGCTAGGCAGGACTTGTTCCCAAATTTATTGGCAGCTGCATGAATTATGATAGCTAGAAATGGAAGGGGCAAGCAGAATATAAAATAGGAAAATGTTATAAAGAGGTGTGGGGATATAGCTATTAATGATAAATTAAGATGTGCCATTAAGGTAAGATACATAGTAGAAATGATTTTGAGGACATATGGAAGGTGTTTGTAGAATCTGTACTGTTAAAACAGAAAGGGGTCAAACAATCGCAAGAGGTGTTGAAATTTTGGGCGGTTGGAATTGTTGGGGGTGGGGGTGCACATTTTTATTCTTATTTATTTTGATTATTACTTTGTCAAAATAAGAAAGAAAAAGAGAAAAGAAAAGAAGAAAAAAGAAAAAAGCATAGCATGCCACTGACGTTGTGAGGTAATATGCGTTCTGAAGATGAACTTTGACATTTTGGACACATTTTTGAAATCCCTGTAGTATTTTGTTTCAACACTAGATGGCGTACAAACATTCAGATCGGGAGGACTAGTAACCACTGACAAGAATGCTCCACCACACTCAGATTGTCGCATATCCCCTCTTTAAACTTGCGGGCATCACCTTGGTGACGCTGGTCCGATGCTTGAGCTCCAGGTCTTCTATGGACAACTGGTGATCATCCTAAAAGGGAAAGCAGACCCAAGATGAAGAGAGAGTGGCTTCAGAGGGGGGAGGGAAAGGGATATTGGGTGGCAGGGACTGCCTGCAACTGCTGCTGCCTCACAACTACCACATAAAAGGTAAAAAAAAGGAGAGAAAATGTAAAGGGCCCCTGGATGGTTAAGTCCAGTCAAAGGTGACTACGGGGTTGTGGCGCTCATTTCACTTTCAGGCTGAGGGACCTGGCGTCTGCCCACAGACAGCTTTCTGGGTCATGTGGCCAGCAGGACTAAACAGCTGCTGGCGCAACAGAACACCATGATGGAAACCAGAGCGCATGGATTTACCTTCCCTGTTTATCTACTTGCTCTGGCGTGCTTTTGAACTGCTAGGTTGGCAGGAGCTGGGACAGAGCAACGGCAGCTCACCCTGTCATGGGGATTCGAACCGCCAACCTTCCGATCGGCAAGCCCAAGAGGCTCTGTGGTAAGCCTACAGGAGCCCCTCAGAGCAGAAGGGACCCCACCTTAAAGCAGCCGCCGTCCCCGCCAAGGTCACCCAATGAGCTTGGTGGCTGAGCAGAGATTTAAACCTGCGCCCTTTGCCAAGTCACCATGTTGCCTTTCCAGATAACAAGTAACAATGGCAGCAATAGATAGGGTGGTAAATATGATAAATAAATATTCTGGAAGTGTGACTGCAAGCAAGGGCCTTTCCTCAGTTGCCTCTCTGTCTCACGGAATAAGAGTCCCTTTGAGAACGTCCGAATCAGCATTCAGCCACCCCGGCTTACCACATCCATCTCTTTCTTCATACTCTCCAACTTCTCTTTCTTCTTTTCCCCTTTCTTCTTCTTCTTGATCTTGACATCCATTTCCCCACCAGGATGTTTCTCCATTTCCACCGAGTACATCTCGTACTTGTCCTGAAGCCAAGGGCCAGGGGAAAATAAAGAGAGATTTGTGAACTTGAACTGATGCACCATGGCAATGCAATCAGCTGAAACTTTAGTTGCGGGGAAAGGCACCCTGCACATGCTCAGAAGCACATCCTTTTATTAACCGCAAGGGGAAGGAACTTATGAATAGAGGCATTATCATCTATTAACTGCTGGGAAAAGCACTTCATACATGCTCAGAGGCGCTGTCTTTCATTAATTGCTGGGGAAAGGATATTTTGCACATGTGCAGAGGTACTGCCTTTCATGAATGGGGGAATGCAGTTGGCACAGGCTGAGAGGCACTATTAATGGGAAGGAAAGGCACTTCACACATGTTCAGAGGCCCTGTCCTTTATCGTATTTTGGAGCTGAAACCCAACAAGCAGAACAGATATCTCCCTTGCAGTAGAGACTGAATTCAAATTCGACAAGATAGGAGATTTTCTCAAAGTGAGGGTTCTTGTGAGGGCACCCTTTCTTTGTCCCTGAGGAACTGGGTGGTGGTGGTCACGAGCTTGGCTGGATCTGTTCCTCAGCATAAGAAAAAACAACCACAACTCGAGTGGATTAATCTGCCTGCATTTGCATAGGAGAACAACACCAGTAGTTCTAAGCGGGGGGGGGGGGGCATCTTTTCTGTGGGTTGGATGCAGTTTACTCCAGGGGTAAGTGGATTTAAGATCGCAACCAAAATTAATTGAACCCTGGCCAAAGCACAGGTCAGCCCAAATCAGTTCGATTGGTTCAGGATCCAGGATTTTTAAACCCTGCTGATTTCAGTGGGATAATGTACTAGACCCTCCCTCTACACATAGCAATTCTCTCAAGATTTCTCTTCATATTTTTCTCTCTAGTTGGGAGATGGGTTGTTCGTTGATATTAATTTTTTGTACTGTATCTTTCTTTTTACAGTGGTACTTCAGGTTAAGTACTTAATTCGTTCCGGAGGTCCGTTCTTAACCTGAAACTGTTCTTAACCTGAAGCACCACTTTAGCTAATGGGGCCTCCCGCTACTGCCGCGCCACTGGAGCACAATTTCTGTTCTCATCCTGAAGAAAAGTTCTTAACCTGAGGTACTATTTCTGGGTTAGCGGAGTCTATAACCTGAAGCGTCTGTAACTTGAAGCATATGTAACCCAAGGTACAACTGTATATCTTTTTAGAGTTTTGTGGAAAATGTTCCATTTGGTTGTTTACTTTTTGGTGAGTTTTATTTATCGTTTGTGACTACTTTCGTTATGTTCGTTATGTTTTTTTATTTATGCACATTTTTCATGTTGTAAGCATGGTTTTAACTATGGAAAGGTGGCATACAAAAAAAAAAGTTTAATTAATTAATAGTTATGAGGTTTATAAAATTTTTTAACACCTTCCGGAAGTTGAGATTCTGCTCAGATGGTTGGATTCCTATTTCTACCGTGTGCTATGTTCTGCTGTGAGTTCACTGCCTGGATAACCCCAGGATATGTGAAATGAAGCCAAGCGATGAAATCTTACATCTGTGCAAGACTCAACTTCCTAAACCCAGAATGACGGAAACTCTATTACAAATTGTCATGATTGTTCTCAGCCTTGCTATGTCTGTCGGCTGCCACTTATTCAACTTTTGCAACATCTAATCTTCTATATGGGTGGTGCATTCACAATTAACAAGAAGGACTAGAACCCTCACTTTGCCTAAAAGCATGCATTGAAAGGTGGCAACACCTCGCCCTGTTGGCTCTCTTTCACTAGCTAGATGTCGAACACGACAGGGTGATTTATAAGATGCCAAGGGCAGGAAGAAGCGAAGCTGCCAATTTCACCTTCTCATTTTCCACTCTTCTTTTCAGCTCTCCACATTCCCGCGTCACTTTGCCTGTATGCATTTTAATACAAACTGTACCCTAGTACGGTCAAACCTCGGTTGTCAAACGCAATCCATTCCAGAAGCCCTTTCAGCTTCTGAAATGTTTGACAACCGAGGCGTGGCTTCCGATTGGCTGCCAGAGCTTCCTGCACTCAAGCGAAAGCCACGTCGGATGTTTGGCTTCTGAAAAGCATCCGAAAACTGGAGTATTTACTTCCACATTTGAGAGCCAAAACATTCCAAAACGGAGGTGTTTGCAATCCGAGGTTTGACTGTAAATGCAATTCTGTACACAACACTTGGCTGGAGAACTGCATTGAAAAATTCAGAGAAGCGAGAATTTCAAAGTAATTGCTGTATTTTAGTTTTCATAGAGTTGAATGTTAGGAGGATTTCCCTTTAAATATGAACTGGGTAGAATTTCTCCCTCATCTCTTGTCAAGGGGGACCTTTGGAAACCATCATAGCAGAGTGCAGGTTTAACTCTGGCACTGTTGCTTTTCTGCAGATTCGTGCACGAATCGAGTGGGTAGGGTTCTCCAGAAGACTGTGACACCAAGAAATGCAGAACTGGAAGGACCACATAGGACATTTAGTCCAACCCCTGATCAATGCAGGGATCTTGCAACTGCAGCATCCCTGACTGATGATACTTCCAGTGCTTCAATACGTCCAGTGAAGGAGACCCTGCCATCTTGCAAGGCAGTCTGTTCTACTGTCACACAACTCATTCCATTAGGAAGTTTCAATGTATAGCAGAAAGCTCCTCTGTTGCCTTTCCCATACATTCAGTCTCTTCCTGTCCCTTGAAGTAGCATTAAACAAGTCATCCCCCCACTTTTGCATGACAGAATTTCAGAAATTTTAAGGCAGTTATCCTATCTCCTCTTCATTTTCTCTTCTCCGAAAGCAGCCAACTCAACTGTTCTTCATAGAACTTGATTTTCCAGATTCTGCGCCATCTTTGCTGGTCTATTTTGCCAGCCCCGTTATATTTATGCAATAATAGTGAATTAGTGGTGGGTTCAGGCTGGGCCATCCACAAACCATTCTGCTTTATTAGCTGTTCTGCAACACCTCTCCAATGTCACTGCCACTTGGAGGGCACTTCTTGCGCTGTAACAGTGCAACAAAAGTGGAACAACCCCACCACCCCCACAACAGAACATTTGTGGTATGAAAAATTACCAGACTTCAGCTGGAAACTACGGGGCTTCCGTGTTTGGAAACCAAGTGGTATATCTGCCCTGAAACATCTGCAGCCACAATTTGTATTGGAAGTCACGTATAATGTCCCTGGTCCCACCATGATCACAGATCATCAAGAATTCACAAGAAAAAGGAGGCCAGAGATGGAAACCTAAAACCTCTGTAAAACGGTGGTGTCTAGGTGAAAGCAGAAGTTCCTTACCGCCTTCCCCATTTTGATTCCTTTGGGCCTGGTCTTCTCTAAGGCCAACAAGACAGACCCGGGTGGGTCTCGAGTGTCTGAGGCTGTTGCAGGTGCTCTGTGGCTCAGGGAGGGTAAACGGTGACCCCTCTTGGGTGTCCCCCTTTTATCAATTCCTCTGGGTGCCACCTTGTCCCTGGAAGGAGAGGGGGTGCCAAGCCCTCTTGCGTGCTTTTTTGAAGTCACGCCCCAGGAGGTGACAGCCTCGGAAGGGAGAAAACAAACACCCAAGAGAGCAGGTTTCACCTTGGACTCCCCTTTCCACCCATGGCAACTCCCTCTGGAGCAAACACATCCAGGTGTCGAAGGCAAAGACCTTGAAGCTGAGGGGGATGAAGGAACAGGCCATATAAAAGGATGGAACTGGTGCCATTAAATACAAGGCTCTGGGGGAAAGCCATGGCTGTGGCTCAGTGGTAGAACATCTACTTTGCATGCTGAAAGGTCCCAGGTTCGATCCCTGCCATCTCCATGTGTGGCTGGAAGAGACCTCTTGATTTCCCCCCAGTATTAGTGGCCATTGAGCATACTCAGTTTCTCACCAGGCTGTTTTTGGGTCCCCCCTCCCCAAGATTTGATTTATATTTCTGTTAATACCTCCTCCCCCTTGTGCCGTTTTGGCCGGAACATGAGCACATCACACTGCGACATTGTGTTATGATTAACGGATTTGATTTCAGAAGAAGAAGAGTTTGGATTGGATATCCCGCTTTATCACTACCCGAAGGAGTCTCAAAGTGGCTAACATTCTCCTTTCCCTTCCTCCCCACAACAAACACTCTGTGAGGTGAGTGGGGCTGAGAGACTTCAGAGAAGGTCACCCAGCAGCTACAAGTGGACGAGCGGAGACGCGAACCTAGTTCCCCAGATTACGAGACTACTGCTCTTAACCACTATACCACACTGGTTGTGGGGTGCAGTTTATTATTATTTCTACATGTAAGCACCCTTGATCGTTGCAACAGATACCCTCCCTGGTTCCAAGAGGGGAGACAGGAATAGTAAGGTCTGGTCAGTAGGCCACTAGTTATGAGCTGTGCAACTGAGCCATGGAAGGACCGTCAACAGCGACTCCCCCCCAAAAAAATTTCTCTTGATGATGCCACTGTGGCAATGACACATAAAAAGAAGGTGATGGAAGTATGGCAATTACAATATTTGTTAAGAGTGCTGAGTGTTGTTGGGAGACTCTGATTCTCCTCACAGAGCTGCAGTTCCCAGAGTTCCTCAGGAAGAGACAATGGTTGCAAAACGACTTTGGGAACTGTAGTTCTATGAGGGGACTAGCGGTTGCCTTATTTACTTTATCAGATTCATATAGCATCCTTCATCACAAGATCTCAAGGCGGTTCACAAGATAAAAATAAAAGGTAACTCTCAGCACCCTTAAAAAACATCAGCTCCCAGAATTTTGGGGGCGGGGGGCGGGGAGGGGAGCTGTGGCTGTTTAAAGTGCTTTTAGTAGAGGTTTTGCGGCATGGTGTGAATGTGACCTAAATGGGAAATGACTCAAATTTCATCCCCCTTCCCTTCCTCTGGCACGAAGCTTTGCGAAAGAACCACAACTGTGGTAGCCACATCAAATGGAAACTTCTATAGCCTCACAGCAAGCATCCTATGTGGTCAGCTTTTCTGTGGGATTTGGAGTTGAGCATGCCTCTCAACTTTGAGCTTTCATTTTGTGGTTCTTGAATGGGAGAACGGGAGAGGTTTGAGGGCAAGCGACTTCTGCTAGCATCGGAAGAGATTTCTCATTCCCCTCCCTTTGTTAAACACTTTGTTAAACACTTTATTTAACTGACAAACAAAAAGCACAAAAAACCCAAAATACCCCCACAGTGCATCAGGTTACACTTCCCTATTTGAAAGAGAGGAAATATCTTGGAGGCCAGATCTGCTGCCCCTATCGATCCTGTCACCCGAAGGCCATTGCCCCAATTTGCCTCATGGTTGGGCTGGGCCTTCACTTAGACCATGCTTGCATTGTACAACTCGCTTCATCCTTCCAGGGATTGTTTGTCTTGCAGCTACTAATAAGCTACCAATGTTGATAAAAAACCTGTTAGTTGTGTTACAGGAATTTATGTCACGGTTGTGGGGGGGGGGTTGCCCCTCCAGCAGACATCATACACACATACCCCGACTACCAAACTCAACACAATCACTCCTGCATATGTCCCCACAAAACATTTCATCACAGTTTTTCCCTATCTCTATTCAACAAAATAAAAAAAATCCTTCCAGTAGCACCTTAGACACCAACTAAGTTTGTTATTGGTATGAGCTTTCGTGTGCATGCACAATACAACAATTCACTGATAAATGCATCTATGTACTGGCTCACTGGGAAAACTTTAGAAAGTCATATAAAATTGCTCCAGTATGGATTTGCGCCATTCCAACTTGGTTCTGTTCAGGAAAGGAATGGCTACCAAGAAGGGAGTCTGGGATGTGGGCAGCCATAATCCCTGAAACCTGGGATCACATACACAGCAGCCTCTTGCACAAGAGATAATCACTGACACCATGGCAAATGGGTGCCAGACAGGCAGTCGTCTTATGGACAATGGCAAACCATCCAGGAATGGATTAGGTCCTGGGTCAGGACAAAGGAGTGTGATTACCTGATGGGGGAAAACCAGGAACTTGTAAATATCCCTATCGTATCACTTGATGGGTGCTGGGCAAGGGAGGTTGGGGGCAAACCTGACGAACTGCTTTCTACCAGAAACCCCCTCCCTGTTTGTGACGTATATATGATGTATCTGGGATGTATGCCTGATGCTTCACCTGAGGTGTTTATGGGAAAAGGGGAAACTGATAAAAGAGGAAGCATCCCTTTGTTTGGGGCTTCTCCCTGCTTCTTCTATGGGGTGGCTAGAAGTTCTCTTGCAACAGTCTTTTAAATAAAGACCAGGCCTACAGGCTGCTGTTTTGCTCCTATTTTCTTGGCTGGTGTCTTTGGGAATAATAATAATAATAATAATAATAATAATAATAATAATAATAATTTATACCCCGCCCATCTGGCTGAGTTTCCCCAGCCACTCTGGGCGGCTCCCAATCAAATGTTAAAAACAGTACAGCATTAAATATTAAAAACTTTCCTGAACAGGGCTGCCTTCAGATGTCTTTTATAGATAGGATAGCTGCTTATTTCTTTCACATCTGATGGGAGGGCACAGTGGCGTAGCGTGGGTTGTCAGCACCCGGGGCAAGGCAAGTAATTTGCGCCCCCTAACCCGTGGATTTGCGCCCCCTAACCTGTGGATTTGCGCCCCCTAACCTGTGGATTTGCCCTAACCCCAGATGTTGCTCCCGGTGCGGCCGGCCCCCCCTGCACCCCCCACGCTACGCCACTGGGAGGGCATTCCACAGGGTGGGCGCCACTACTGAGAAGGCCCTCTGTCTGGTTCCCTGTAACCTCACTTCTCACAGTGAGGGAACCGCCAGAAGGCTCTTGGCGCTGGACCTCAGTGTCCTGGGCTGAACAATGGGGGTGGAGATGCTCCTTCAGGTATACGGGTCCGAGGCCATTTAGGGCTTTAAAGGTCAGCACCAACACTTTGAATTGTGCTTGGAAACGTACTGGGAGCCAATGCAGATCTGTCAGGACCGGTGTTATGTGGTCCTGGCGGCCAGTCCCAGTCACCAGAATCCAAGTGAGCCTGGGAATTTTCCTTTTACAGTTGCTTTTTATGCAAAAAAAAATAATCTCCAAGCAATTTACAGCATATTTAAAAATAAGCAGAAGGCCCACACCACATCCCTCTTTTTAGGATTTGCGCTCATTGCAGAGTTGGAAGGGACCTCAAGGTGGTGGTCTGAATGTGGCTTTTATTTTGTTCATAGTCAATAATGGAGGCTCCTCACGTCCCACTTTTCTCAGTACCTCTTAGTGGGCTGCCCTTTCCCTCCTGGTTCTTTGCTGCCGTTCCTTTCCCCCTGAGGGACCTTGACAGGACCTTGTACTAAAATGCCCCAGCTTTGCGTCCAGAGCTGCCTCTGGCATGTTCACAGACCTTCGCCTTGTGCTGGAGCCAGAAATCTCTGGTGAACAGGGCCCTCCTCCCCAACCCCTGCTTATCAGCTGGTGACCTTACAAAGAGGAAGGAGAGATAGGAAAGCTGAAGGATTAACGTAGACAAACACAACTCCCGTATGTGAGATGTGAAAGCGTCAGTTTGCCTTCTCCGCTGTTACTCAGTGTGCCGCCTGCCCAATAGCATTCTATTCCAGGTCACGTGCTACAAACTTGTGTTAGAAGCCCTGCTGGGAGCCATGTAACCATCTGCAAACCACCCCATGTACACATATATAACCCAGTTCTAAAATAGCTGCATTGACTTCCAGTTCATTTCTGGGCCCAGTTCAAGGTGCTCATGCCAGGACTTAAAGCCCTAAATGATTTGGGTCCCACATACCAGAAAACCTGCCTCCTTCCCTCGGAAGTTCCGGGTGGTGGTGACTCAGGAGAGGGCCTTCTCTCTTGGCAGCCCCTAAACTGTGAAATTCCTTCCCCAAAGACCCTCCAAATGCACCTGTTTTCCAGGGCAAGTCCCGGATTTACAGAAGCTGTCCTGGTTTTTTTATTTGATCCCAGAATGTCCCACTTTTCCTTAGGAAATCCCTATTTTCATTGGAGAAATGGTGGAGATTATGGAGTTATCCAACCTCATCTGAAGGCAGCCCTGTATAGAGAAGCTTTTTAAAAATGTTTAATTTTTTTATATATGTTGGAAGCCACCCAGAGTGGCTGGGGCAAACCAGTCAGATATATATATGTTATTGTTATAAATTGGTATATTGGTGTAAATATTATTGGTATACAGTGGAACCTCGGGTTACAGACACTTCAGGTTACATATGCTTCAGGTTACAGACTCTGCTAACCCAGAAATAGTACCTTGGGTTAAGAACTTTGCTTCAGGATGAGAACAGAAATTGCACGGTGGCAGCAGGAGGCCCGATTA